GAGCTGTTATGTCAGCCGACGTTTATATGAGATGGAGAAATCCTGCCAACAAAATTACTGTCTTAGTTAATGCTGAATGTATCTCGGAAAATGGCATGACTTAAGTTGTTTTATTATGATGAAACACGAGAGCTGTATGCGTTGATGATCCTTTAATGAGTAGCTGGTAAATTCAGTTGGTAGGAGTAAGTAAAATTGTCTATTTATAAAATGCACAAAGCAAGAAAATATTCTGAAATCGGATCCTATTTCGATGTCTCTGTATTGTATGGTTGTGTATGTATAAAATCTGAAGACATTTTTTTCTAATGACAACTCTGAAATTTATCCAATGTTCTGATGAAAATCATCACAACATGGACCTTATAGTTTGCCCTTCTATTTTATTATTCAATCGGAGATCGAAATCAAAACAAATTGAATTGAAATTCTGAGTATGTAGGTGGAGTTGAATATGATCCATGCGATGTTACCGGTTAGCGATCTCTTTGCATTACTAGATAAAATTGAATAAACCGAATCATTTTAGTATAAAGTTTATATCTTCAATTCTGTCTGATTCATGAATATGCTGAGAAGAAAAAGAGCCGTGGTGCCAAAAAATTTTTTGAACGCTGAAAATGTGCCAATACAATTTTGTAAAAGGGGGTGCTGAGCTTCTTTTTTTTATTTTACAATTTTTTTAAACAAAATACGACGTCGGCTGAAAAAACACTGCAAATTTTCTAAAAGTAAAGAAGGTGACTGCACACCATTCTGTATTACTGCCCTCATGAGCACATTCATTTCCTGATTATTCAACTTGTATTGGCTCTATGTTGTAAAGAGTCTCCTATCTGCGAAAGATAGTAAATGTATCATAATATTTACTCTGTGTATCATCTTCAAACTCATTAATTACCAACCAAAAGATTAAAACGACGAGTGATTCACAGGTGGTTTCCGTAGAATCTGATGAATGATTCAGTTTTCTATTACTTTTTTTGCAACTTTTTCTAATTTACTTGTAGATACCATTATATTAGTTAACATCTTTATTAAGAATAACTGACTTGGATTACAGTATTATTATTGTCTTAGATACTCAATGACTCAAAAGACCATAGATATAATGATTCGTCACATATTGGCTTTTTTAAATAGCTAAGGTCAAGAGTGTCTAATGGTTTCTCTTTATATACCCACACATAAGCTGATATAATGTTTGCGTAGTTTCTAAAGCATATCGGTGATACAAGTACTTCATATATGTTCTGATTTGCTGCTATTTGCTTTCGTCGACTCACGATGAAGAAGAACAAGGAACTCATTTATGTCGCAAATAAGTCGTAACGCAAATCTCTTGATATAGAATCCACGTTGATCGTCTAATTTAGAACGGGAGTTGTGATTGAGAGAGAAATCAATCAAAATATATCGAGTAATTTTGTTCCGATTCTAACTAGGTGTCTTCGCATGCAAAAAGAACAATACATAAATAAATATGATGCTTCTTAGTTTGGTAGATGTGGGTCTAGGCGTGAGTGTAGGTGTCTATATGAATCCGAGTCTATGTGATAGTGTGAGTGTGATTTTTCTAGAAAAAGAAACCATACTCACACCCTGTTTCTTCCCTCATCCCTATTCAAGCAGACCAAAAACAGATGTATTCGAAATCTTCAAATGAAAGAACGAAAAGTGGTTCGGACATTTCTCGATCACTTACACCTACCGGATGCGGTAAGAAATTTTGAATTTTATTATCTTCGAAAAATGAGCGATCAATTGTTCGCGATTTGTCTCATGCAGACAATAAATATAGATGGATTTTATTTGTGGTAAAGCATGAATTCGTGGAAGTAGAACTTGACCGAGTGTATCGGAACAAATCAGAATGATTTTATCTTCTATTGTCGTTTCATGACGTACGTATTGTTCACACTCGTCAATAAAAGTGAATGTTCTTTGAAAATTAATTAGGTCACATAATTTCTTTCGTGTTTGACGATTTCTATATATTTTATCGTGGTTTTCATCGCACCAAATCAATGAAAATACATCTAAATTTTTTTATATACACGGAGATTCACATTGGTTGCTATCAAGAAGCGTATTTTCCATTGATAGTGCTCTTGATTGTGCTCGAAAAAAAAGAATTCAATGAACTACCTAATACGCTCCAAATAGCACCCATTTTAAGATTTTTTGACGACAGTAATGCAATAACACTGTAGACAGCAACAATATTTTGATGAGAGAATAGAAAAAAAAATCAAACTGGCTGGTGAAACTGTAACATGTTTGGTTTCTTGTTGCTGACGACAACCTCACAACGGTTAAGTAATTCAACATTAAACATTTCTTTGCATCGTCACTTCTGTCTTCCTTTGTTTATCTCTGAAAAAGAATAGAGAAAGATCAATCAAGACTGAAGCGAATAATGATGACTAGCATAAAAGAAGAATAATGAGTATGAGGCTCATTTTAAATGACCTATTTTCACTCTACATTTAACTCACAGTGTAATTGTGCTTCGTTTTTCTTTTCTTCCGATTCGAAACGAAGTGATTGACTCAATGTTTGTTGTCTCAAACATGAGTATCGAACAACAGTTGGACTCATATTCACTTAGTTAGAATATCTTGGCATGCTGCGGGTGTAGGTCTGTGAATGCGGATGTTGATATTGTTGGGTGTGGGGGTATAGATGTGTGAGGTGTGGACGTGCTTTAGAAGAAGATCCACACTCACACCACCAGTGTTTTATCCAGGATTTTTTCTCCGGAGGGGCGATTTGGAATTTCGGGGGGGCGAAAAATTATTTTCGGGAGAGCAAGCCACGTGTTTTTAGTACGATGATCGCAAGTTTCGGGGGGGCGAACTCGATTTTCGGGGGAGCGCGGCCGGGCCCCCCCCCCCCCCCCCCCCCCCCGGGCACCCGTCTGGATAAAACACTGCACACCACACCCAAACATGTGTTGCGTAATAAAATTAACCTTCAATAATCTCTGAGCATTAACTTTTTTCTTCAAAGTCCTATAACTTTCAAACAGTTTTTCTGAAGAGTTTGTCATATAATTATTTAAAAGAATATGAATTTTTGTTATCAGAAGTGGTCGCAACATCATTATTAATTGTGTATGATATTTTTTCCTTAGATATCATAAAAGAACTTTTCAGGATTATTTCATTACATGTTTTGTCTCTTATGCATCAAGTTACTGAAGTTTTTTGTTTCTAATTATTCAAAACAGTTTCAATTTGACTCAAGAATTGTTTGAATTATGGCAGACAATCACAAGATAATGTTGTCGTTCATATTAATCCTCCAAAAATTATTCATTTGAAAGCCAATTCGAAATCACCTCTCATGTAACTGAATTAGAGTGAATACTATACAGAAACATTAATTAATTGACCTGTAATATTCTTATTTATTTTAACAATGGTTATCATTAAAATCTGAACTTCATCAATTTCTATGGTACATGAAAAACTGATATTGTTGTAGTTATATAATATTGCTTCATAGTGTGATAGAAGAATATGTAGTGTATACTGTTTAAATACTGTATTTTACGTTACTTCTTTATCACAGTAGTTACGCTTTTGATGAATTATGCCTACTCTCGAATATTTTATTGGTAATAAATCAAAGTGGCTTATGAAACACATTTCTTAAAAATGAAATATTATTTTATCAACTGCAGACACGAGAAAATAGAATGATTATTTATTCATTTTGTTGAATTAATGTTTTTTACAACTGTTGAAATTATTCTTGTCAAACTTGCGTTTTATTATGTCCTTGACATGTGACGAAATAATAAATAAACCTATTGTGTCAGATTGATGATGACATTGCCATTAAGGAAAGCTGACTTCTTCTCTGGAAGAAAATGATGTACAGTGCGTGCTATGTTTTATTCACGGCTTTTAATTCTGAAAAAATATTGAAAACATCATTTGACTTTTCATTATATTACATAAAGAAAAATCACTAGTATTATATTGAAATTTTTTTAAATATTTTGCACGCAGCATAAATCAGTAGTTTTAGTGGAACTGCTTCTTTTATATAGAAAGAGAATCTCAATTTTTATTTTTATACAATGAGAGTTTCGTTTTTTTTTAGTCAAAATAAATCCAACATCCAAAAAGCATCATCGTATACCATAATGAATTGAATGTAGTATCTTCAAAACTATCTAATTCTAATTCAATCATTTTAACATCAATACTATGAAAATAGAATCGGAATCATTAATGTTTCATCTTTACACTCTATAAGCTAGTTTAAAGTGATTCAGTTTAATCTAATTACGAGTGAAACAATACAAACAGTTATGTTCATAAGAACATGGCTTGTAGTTATCAATTGCTAATAAATACGAATATGTGTATATTTCAAGTGTCCATTGATTAGGAAAAAATCATGATATTAACGATTGATGATACTGAAATAAAAGGTGTCGAAAACATCGAGATCTTAGTCAATCAAACTGTGGATCAGATGATGGATGAATCGTGGTAATTGAACAAGCCATTATATCGTATATATGACCTATCTGATTGTTTTATTAAACTTATTTCTACATAAAATTGATTTTTTTTCCAGTATCTTCACTTAACATAATTGATCAAAACCTATATTCGTCAAATTAAACTTCCAGTTATAGACTATTTTGAAACAGCCTATGAGTTAGACACGTTGGTTTATCTCTTATGAATCAACAAGCATTGGAACAATCCGTACTATGACCGCTTTAGCTAATGTAAAATATCAACTCAAATCGATCGATTCATTTATTATAAGAAGTTTATAATCATTTAGTAGAATTACACAATGTCAATATTCATTCTTCACAAGACATTCATGCTAATGACAAAATTATTAATGCTATAACCGTTAAACTCAATCAAATAAGCATTTTAGCTATTATCAATAGTGAATAGTTTCGTCATTAAACTAGTTAATTTTTTATAAATAAGCTATTCAAATTACTAAACAAACGATTCAATCTATTGAATACCTAAAAAAAAGATATTTAGAATTTTTTATTATTACCTGAAATACTAAGGAATATCATATTGTTATAATAATCTGAAAACAAAATGTGTGTGATACTTTCACACAACATTTATTTTTAAAAAAAAATTTAGGTAGATTTATTCATTGAAACAAAAAACACTCAATGTTATCATTCTTATTCAATGACTTATAAAAATATTCATTATGTAACCATACATTAAGATTAATGCAAATCAAACTTTTTGCTATATAACCTTGAAGGTCATTTCCTATTCAATCGGAAAGACAGGAAAGTAGTCAATATGAATAAATAAAGATTGAATTGTATTTGTGAACTGCTTCCTGGAAGTCTACCATTAACATCGGTAATATTATGATGTTGCAATACTTTTTTCACAGCAGCTATCGTCAATGGTCCATTACATAGCATACGATTACATTTTAGAGTCATCAGTGCAAAGCTACCGGAATCGAAAATATTAACGCTAGCAGATTCTTGATTACTATGAAGACATAAACGTCTATGAAATTTATGTTTAATCAAATCATCGACGATCTGACACGAGCCAGACATTCCAGGAACAGTACATTGACGAACACCCTCATTGATATCAAAACAGGCTAAATTTGTAGATAAACTTGATTTTTCATGTAATAATCGATTTAAATCAGAATAAATTTTCGTTATATTATATGAACGTTTAGCCATTTGAATAATTGTTTGTTCAGCAAAAATACGAGCACAATCATCAGTCTCTTTGCAAACATGATGAATATCATAAGAAAAAAATTTGTTTACAGCAGTTTCAATCATAACAAAATGTTTATTGTCACCAAGAGTGTTATCATGTGATGATTCACCAGTAAATGTAATATTATAGGATGCACGATCATACCAAAATACAACTTTAACGGAACAACGACTAGCTGATACATGATTACACTTGGATGGTATAACAAATGATTGATGCATTGAATAAATCATTGAACAATTGTCTGTACATCGTAAACTATAAGTTAGATGAAAAAAAGCTAGTAATAATCCTAGAAGAAACATTATCTCATTCCGTTCGTATAGTAGATAGATGTGCCTTTGTATTGTCAATGTGCCGTATATCATATAAGTAAACACAAGCAGTTTGTATATTATCATTGTAGAAAGATATTTTTCTATTCTAAAGCATGTCAAGACATCAATGGCTATGATTGCCCTTGGTGACACGATGGAAAAGAATCCTTACAATGCTTTCATATTCTGATATGATTGATAAATATCAAATGCTAGAATGGTCTCATGAGGTTATCATACATATTTCCTTTTTTTTCTTCCTTTTCAATTAAAAAAAAGTTATTACATCCTAAAGAATAAGTTATCTGTAATAGATTAAAGAACAATTGTGGAAAGGAAACACTATATCATCATTATTATCTAGAAGAAATGTATTCTTTCGCACATCTCATCAGCTGATCAAATGCAAAGAAAAGAAAAAGAAAAAGAAGTTTTCTTTTCTATGAAACGAACGTCTGTCAATGTTTACATCATTTCTTATTCAAATCAAAGAACTTATATTCCAAGGTTTCTTTCAATGTATATTTGAACATTAGCATAAGTTTTCTTTTTGAACAAGATTCAATAAATTAATGTAAACTCTCAAAAGATACAATACATACAACACTTGGTAAATAAGCAGGATAATTTCGTGTGTCTGTATAAAAAATAAAACCAATTATACAGTAAATTATTGATGAAAGAAAAAGAGTATCGTGTGTAAGACTAAAATAATTGAAAATGAGTTGGTGTTAAATTATGAATTATTAAACAATTTTTCTTCATCAAAAGGAAATGATTACGTAAAACTCAATAAAAAAAAAAGACAAGTCATATATATATGGTCTATTGCATTTTAATGATACTATTATATATTGATATTCTTTTATTAAATTGAGTTTTAAAAAAGATTTGTTATCGTAACAACTTTTGTCAATGGCAAAGCGTCTGATTCATCTTTGATTGTCCGATAGAACATACATAGAAAACTAAGACACAAAAAAAAATCTATATTTTATTTTTTCATTGATATTTTTCGATAAGATAATTCAAAACTCATCAGTATAATAAGTTCGTGATTATAAAAATGATTTAATGATTCGTTGACGTAATGTATTTTTTAATTTTAACCTTATTCTATATAAAGTTAATTCAGAATACATTGCATTTGAAAAGATATTATCCTTCCGAAAAAAAAACTTATATTATTTGATCAATCCAAACTTTTTATCATTATTGTGAAAAAAAATGAAACTATATCATTTAGATTTGTACGAATAACATATGTGTGATGAATGTAACCTTGATTCAAGGTGACAACGATGGCGAGGGCGGCATTAATTGTGGTAAGAGTGACGGATACTTGTAATATGATGCAATAGTGAAAGGCTCCATGTTGAATTATGCGTAGGCAACAAGAAAAAAGAAAAAAACCGGGCATGTCTTTTTCGATTAATCTTTCACTATCAAATGGTTACCCCATTTTCTCTCTCTGTCTCTCTCTCGGTCTTTGTCACAGCGCAATTTTAACAGCGGTAAACAGAATATTATTATATGCTGACGTTCGTTGTGAGTGTCGAACAACAAAGGGGTAAGAAAAACAACATACTAGATTAGACGATATGTGAAGAGAAAATAATCATGATCAATATTTCACATTGTATTAGCTATGTTATAGATTTTTTCATTATATACTGTTGACAAATACTTGTTCACGTTTGTATACACTTGTATTGAGAAGAAGAAGAAGAAGACGACGACGGTAATATTCTTTTCAATAGCGATTTGTATTACCATTGCTGCTACTTCACAACTGTACGAACGAAATTTACTTTGGAGCAGACAGCTGACAAAAAAAAGTACGTTAAATATTTTAGCTGCAACAACAGGCGCTTGTGAAATATTAAATCACTATCAGGAGATATGTCTCTCTCTCTCAAGAGTGATAGACAGACGATGCTTTACCCTTTTTCTTGTTGAGATAAACGCTATGCAAAGGCATTCATAAAAAAAATAGTGTGGCGAACAATTGGGTTCCGAGAACATAATAGATTATAAGAAAGAAAAAGTCTCTTGGCCTAGACCGATGTACGGATCAGCTGGTTACGGTACCCATTGTTATAGATTGTATAATCAGTCAAGATGCAACCATTTTTCGAATAGAGCAGAAATTGATGAATCATAGAGAACTATTGTGACACCATTCTTCAATTGACTTCTAGTTGAATAATTGATACGATCGATGACAGATGGTGCAGACATATTGGCTATTGATTGAAATTGATAACCATTGGGCAGTTAGTGATGGCGATCGGATCATTTTCTTCTGATTGTCTTTGTTAAATATTGACTTTATTCAGTTTCTATGATGCATTTAATTTATTGAATTAGATTAATGATCTACCTTAGTCATTATTTACTTGACAATATTAACATTGAATGAGATTGTAGTGGTCTCAAACCCAAAAGAAAAATTGAATATATTATAAAGGCTCTTAATTGATAGAAGTGTCTTATTTAAAGTAAATACTAGTCTCCAATAAGAGGTCAGTCAATAAGAAAACATCTCGATAGATTAAAATGCTTTCAGGGATTGTTTTGATTTAAGATGTGAAATTGAAAGAGAGAATCTCGTACGCTTTTTAAATTAAGATATCAATAAATAATTGATTGGGTAGAATGGACATATATGAACGATTTAGGATCTAGAAGAGTTTTATAAAAAGAATATCGAATTGAAATATGATTTAAAAAAAGAATATGAAAAATAAAAGTAAGTTCCTTTTCAATAGATGTTATTTCATCTGTTATATATGTTAGAAAAAAATCTTAAAGTTTTTACAGAAATCCAACTGATATTTATTTTTCTTATTAATTTAATCAGTAGTTGTTTTTTAAATCGTTTGTTTTGATACACATGTCAATAAAAAAAACAATATTTTGAAAATTGAAACCATGAAATATTATATTATTTAGCATGTGATTAATATATCAAGTGAAAACAATTTCTTTTTAGTCAAAATTCTTTATTGGGTGTTTTTTTTTCGACCGTTATCATCATAGAATAACTGTTTTCCTTTTTTTTCTGTAAGGAAAAAGAGAAAATATTTTTGTCTTATTTTTTGTTATCATGTGAGATACTGTGGGCAGTATCAGTTGATTATAACTATTTGACCTATTTAGTATATAAACAAGAAAAAACATGAGAACTACACTGAAGAAATCGATAAAAAACATTAACTATACGAGTATGTTTCTTTTTCTTTTCTCTTCTTATTCTCACATGATCCGTTATGTTCTGTATTATTCATCAGAAAGGCATGTAATGCAATCCTAACAGAATAACAAGACATTCGATAACGAAAGGAAGACATAAGGACGGAAAAAGATGGATATAGAAAATAGTCGATGATGAAGTAACATCGTCGACGAGACTGTGTTTTTGTGTGTAGGAGGATCGAGATACATATATTTATAACAGCATGGTATATCGAAATAGTTGATCAAAAGATTCTATTCACCATCACTAACATTGTTATATTTGTGCGTCTTGCTGACATTTGACAGCATTTCTTACGTTAATATCTTGAGATCACTATCATATCAATAGATAGAGAGCTTTAAGCTATTGGCTGTCTATCATCATTATTATTATTCTACTAATCATGTAAACTATGAGTTATATTCGTTTCGATGACCAGATGGAAGCATCAGATGTGATTGTCACTTTATCAAGATTCACTTCCTTTTGAAATCGCATGAATAGACACACGTAAGGTTGTTCAGTCTTTATTTGAGAGGCACATGTTCATCGAGCTAATTATGTGCTTGTATTGTATTAATACGTGTGTGTGTATGCAAACATGTCTACTCATGGCTCATAATCTTAGTGTCATCTCTTGTCTTTCTTTTTCTTTCTTTCTCTTTCTCTTTCTCTTTCTCTTTCTCTTTCTCTTTCTCTTTCTCTTTCTCTTTCTCTTTCTCTTTCTCTTTCTCTTTCTCTTTCTCTTTCTCTTTCTCTTTCTCTTTCTCTTTCTCTTTCTTTTTTTCTTCTTTCATATTTTTTTTTGTGCGTTCAAAGAAAACGAAGAACGACAGCAACTAGGGAGTTGGAAGAGAATAGCATAGTGAGAAACGCATGCGTTTAGTGGAGCGTTTGATCATTGCATTCTTTCTATAGGCAATACTTACGGAAGAAAGAAAAGCTAGTTTAATATTCCGCCTGTGCTGCTTAGTTGTGTGCCTCAGTTTTTTTCCACCAGCTTAGAAAAAAAAAAGAGAAAAAACGACTTGCAATGCGAGCAAAGCAAAAACCGAGCCACGTAAGCAAATATGCTTATATATATATATGTATCCTATTTTAAATAGATTAAAATCAATAATTTGAAAATTTCATTTAATTTATTTATTTTTCCTGTAGCATGTACAATTCAATAATAAAATCTTCTTCAAGTATTTCTTTATCTTCCAACGAATCATTATCAGCTGGAACAACAAATACTAATTCTTTTCCACTAATGCGTAATGATTATAGTCTTGACAGTGTTTGTTGTACCAAGCGAACATTACATACATTTACACATATGTGGATTGTTGAAAATTTTTCATCATATCTTCAAGATCCAGAACCTATTATTTGTTTATCATCATCACCATTTAGTCCTGTTACAGGTGCTAGTGCATCTACACAATGGCGTCTTGTTTGTTATCCAAAAGGCAATTATGGCGCAGCATCAAATTATATGTCAATATTTCTTGAATATATTAAAGGTGAACGTGATATAAAAGCTAAAGCTGAATATTCACTTGTCAATCGTAAATGTGAATTAACTGAAATGCGTAAAGATGTACAATTTTCAATTTATAAATGTGGGAATTCACGTGGTTTTATTAATTATGTTAAATATGATACATTAACATTACTTGAGAATGATACACTTGATGATGATAAACTTAAAATATTTGTGCGTATAACAATAATGGATGATGCTATAACTGAAGAAACAAAATATCAAGAATTTGATGATACTGAAAGTATTAATTTTACAACACGTGGTCTTGAAGCTCTTGTACGAGATTTTACTCAATTATTGCTTCATTCTTCATCAAAAATGAGCGATATTAAAATTATCGTGAAAACTTCAATATCATATAGTACAGATGTAACTGAATCTGATGGTGATTCAAATCCATCTATTGTTACTTTTAATGCTCATAAATTAATTCTTGCTGCTCGATCACCTGTATTTGCAGCTATGTTTTCAAATTCTACTTTAGAAAATACAAAAAATGTTATCGAAATAAATGATTTACGTTCTGAAACAATTCAATCAATGCTTGAATATATTTATACTGGTAAAGTAAATGATATAAAAAAATCTACAGTTGAATTATATCGCTGTGCTGATAAATATCAATTAGAAGATTTACGTTTACAAGCTGAAATGGCTTTAATGAATTCTTTATCAATTGATACAAGTGCTGAAATCTTATTACTTGCTGATCAACATCATTCAAAAGATCTTAAATCACGTGTTATACAATTTATTGTCAATGGAAATCTTAAAGCTATCACACAAACAGAAGGTTGGCATAAATATGTTGCATGCATTCCAGATTTAGTAACTGAAGTCATACAAGCAACGGCTCTTGAATAAAAGCAAACATAAACTTAAGATGTAAACCTTGCTAAACTGCATCTATTCATTCTTCTTGAGTTTTTTTTTCGTTTGTTCGCTAATACCTAGTCACCTTCGTTTTATATGTATTTTATCAAGGACAGACGATCGATGTACAGTTTCATTTTTTTTCTTGCTTTTTGTACTTAAATTCTGTTTTTTATTTTGTCACTCTATGATCAATTTATTGTTTATCCTTCAATTTAAATAAAAATAAATATTTATCATATGAACACTGATCGACAGAAATGAAACGATAAAGGATATTGCGTTTATTTGTCATTTATTCTATTAACAAGGTCTCTTGTCGAAGGTGATTAGTTGATTAATTAATTTTCACACGAACATGGTTCAATGAACCAGATGAAGAAAAGAAAACTATAAGCTGTTGTATCAATTTTATTTTAACGTGTCAAATTGACAGTTAATTAATTTTAATTCATATTTTTTTTTTGTCGATTATGATAATAATGATCCATGATCATTCTTATTTGAAAACAATGATATACTTCTATTAAGAATATTATGTTGATATTCAATATCCTCGGTTGTTGTTTGTTCAGTAATTGATGTAATACAATGCATAGGTAGAATTAGATGTTTTTCTTATACATCGGCAATCGATATTGGTAGTGTTAACGGTAGTAGTACATCATTCATTTCTAAATCGATACCATCTGATTTATTTGTTATTTTTCCTGATTGCTGACATTCAAGTATATTCTTAATGAATGTTGATGTATATTTCATGTCGTTTATTTTATTAGTAATATCGTCTTAGGATACTCTATTGGATAGTGCAGATAATATTATTGATGTAGAGAAAAAATTGAACATTTACTTTCTTGTTTATAACTACTATTTGAAAGAATTATGATGTTCATTATCTAAAGTAGGTAGAATGAGTGTTTGATCTAATAAATTTACACAATGCATTTTTTTTAGCAAAGCAACTACATCTTCAAGTTATTACTAGAAGGAAATTTTAATAAACCTAAAAGTATGCGAGAATTTTATTACCGTTATACAAAAATTTCCGTTAGAGAAAAAGATTTAGAAAAATTTCATTAATAAATTTTGATATGAAAATAAATATCATCTGATGTCTTTCAATCATCTATGTACGTGAATATAGTTTCGGCGATCGCTTTTTACATTCATGCTTTCTGTATATCTATCATATATATCAACTGTGAGTAGGATGACACGATATCGCCGAATTTTGGCAATGAGCTTATTGACTGCCAATATTTGTCTTTTCAACGTTTTAATAACTACTAATCTATCGATCTAAGAACAATTCTTTCGGTGTTGAAAACTGTTCGAAGAAAAATAATGCTACTCATAGTTTTTCTGTTTTTTATACAATCATCAAGTTAATACATCTGTATCTGTTCTGTATGAATAAATGAGAATGAAAATGACTTATTGGACTTCTTAATTACTGAGGTCTTATCAGATTTTTAAGTTAGACTAGTTTTGGCAAATAGTTTTTCGAATGTTGCAACACAATTAGCTAATACTCTTATGGATGATTAATAAAGAAAACACTTTTCTGTTTTGTATGGTTCATTAAACATACGTATTTGTTCTTCCTTGTCGATTACTTTGTTGATGCATACGTATATTTCCTGAGGATTAGGTTTGTTTTCTAAAGGATTATGTATTGAATGCTATACTTGTAAAAGATTCTGAAAATAAAAAATAATTCATAAAATTCTCATAAGAAAATATAAATTGACTTTATATTTCTTTAGATTGACTAAAGCATTGTTTCTTTCTTCAATGAATTCATCTAGTTTTTTGTTTTAAATATGTAAATAAGAAGAAAAATTAGTAAAATGGAATTTGAATTTTTTTTTTAGATGTAATCGATTATGATTGCTTCCTTCTTCCAAAATCCTAGATCCGCTTCTATTAAAATGTAATCTTGTATTAATAAATTTGATATAAAAAAGCATTCAAAGCAGAATAAAACTCAAGAAATATTTTTCGTATTTCTTGATATGTATGACGAATAATTATTGAATTCTAGTAATTCAATCAATTACGATTGACTACAGTTCAAATGAATGTTTTTTTCGAACTTCTACTCATGTCAATTAAGCAAAAATTAACCTGTTAACTAATTATTGCAATTTGATCAATCATTCAATGTTCTCATCATCGAAGAAAATAATAGCGTAAAGATATACATTTAAATCAATACAAAACAATAAACAGCTTGTTACTATTTTTGAATACGATAATAATCTATACATATCTCCATCATCAAATAATCTACAAAAAAGAGTTGATAATATTTGTATTCTTACAAAATTAAAAAAATAATATTCCAACCTGAACTAGACTCTAAACTCACCTGGCATATATATAATACATTCATGTATCACTACTCGAAAAATGTTCAATATTTCAAATAAGACAAATTTGTTATCAGTTCTTTTGTATCTACTCGAGTATACTTTCATTTATCTACGAAAATATCAAATTCATTTTTAAAAAGAACTTTTTGTATTTGCACGCGACTTAAAAGATTTATATTTCCAGTACCTTTCCACTGCGATGCATCATTGCTCGTGCTTTGCAAAACCATGATCATTGTCGGATATTCTGGAGAATTGAAAGCCTCTCGAAAGTGTTCTTTGTAGTGGTTTTAGCCAGACTTTATAGACAATACTGCTTTTTGGGGTTAAAGTTCATGTGTAAAGTCTCTATTCAGGCGTAAAAAAAAAATGAACCAGCTGTCGTAATAAATGTTGTCATGACCTTCGACTATGATACATCTTTAGCTAGATAGTTTGTTCTTTCTTGTGTGTTCTGATACCATGTATTACACTATTTGGTTTTTTTTGCCTTTCTATCCTTTCGATGCAATCCTGTCGAGGTACTTTTTATGTCTATGTGTGTTATTCTGAATTTTTACATGAAGCTATCGTTTAAAGTTTTGACATGGAACTGAATAAATGGACGATTACATTGAGAATGTTGTTAAGTTTGTCTAGTACCGCAATCGGAGTATGCAGTGTGTTGGTTGCTTCGAGATTTAAAAAATGAATACCCTTTAAAAGTGATGTACACAGTTTTGTAGATCTTGAAATTTTCCATAATTTGATGCATAAATAAATAGTAAATAATTGAAAAGCTGGCTTCAGCTTCAGTCCGATTCATTATAGTCAACGCGTTAGTTTCTTTATTTTTAAAACGAATTCCATTCATTTTTTGTCGATAACTAAAATAGTTCTACATCAAGTCTTGTTAAAAAGCATCATAATCTTCATTGAATCATTAGCTTAAAGTTCGTCCGATTGAAAATTTAGGCTTTTAAAGAAAAATCTTAAAATTGAAAATCTTGAATATCATGTGGATTTAGAATTAAAATATTCTACGTCATTGTTTAATTGTCAATTAAGATGTACACTTGTTCCTTGTAAACTATCTACAAGCTTTTCAAATTCATCACGTTCATATTTGAATTTTTGTCTTACTACTAAATTTTTCTTGTAAAATTGCCATTTATAAATATGTGAACTGTTCATCACAAATTCAACATTACACCTCACTGTTCAATAATTCCAGTAGTGGTTGCTGAAGGTCTACGTTATTCAACATGTATGTACAAGGTATTGTGCTTAAGTCTTGGCATCATCAATCATGAAATAATCTTGGACAAGTCACTAATAGCTGTTTGTTTCGGATCACTAGTCCTATAGCATGCTGGCCATGTTATGACATTCATCTACCTTTATGGTTAGTCAGGATACATGGGAAGCACAAGAACTCTGCGTCAGGTTAGCCTTCTATCTAGACCTAAGGTTAGTACTAGTTGTACGAAAGATATCCGACGATCGAATCTACTGCTAGATAGCACCGCTCACTGTAAGGTGTTTGAACGGCAGGAATATTTTTTTCTTACTGTTTATCAATGATTGTAGCTATAATCAAAAAATTCAATATATCAATCACGCCAACAAAGAAAAAGAAAATAAATATGATTTAATTTTTGAAGTTTAACAAAACCAAAAACAATTACAATAAATCATCAAAATCTTCTGTTCGTTTTTTTGTTTTTTTTAATGTTGGTTGAAGACTTTCAAAAATATAATGAAGTTTTTGTTGAACTTTTTTACAACCTGATACAGAATATTCTAGAGATGAAAACGATGATGATATAAATTCAATTAAATTTAAAACATAATTAATAATATCATCTTCAGATAATTCATATTCATATTCATCATTATCAAGAATTATTTGAAGTTGTCGTTTTATACAACCATGAATATGTATACGTTCAAGAGGAAGAAAGGGAACAAAAAATGTAACTAAATGTCGATCAATCAATGATGCAGATTGTAACCCACCTATATAAAAAGAATACAATCAACATTAAACTAAAAAGTAAATTCTTTTTTTAACCTTGTTCACTAAATGATGCACTCGAAAGAGCTTGTTGAAATTCAAGAATATTATAATTTTCACGTTTTATTGATGACAAATGATTTTTTTCAGCTAATTTAATTATTGATGTAGCACCAGTATTACTATAAAGCAAAATTTTTTTTTCATTTAAATTAAATTAATTTCTCTGTCAATACCTTAAGAAGATAAAAATCGTTTTACGAAAATCAGTCGGACGAGAACTAGTAGGAGTATGAAAATCAATATAATATAGAATAACATCTAATAACTGATTAGGCATTTGATCGATTTCATCAAAGACAAATGTTGCTTGTTGACATGCACTAGTTATTTCTTCAATGTCTTTCGTTAAACGATCCTATAGTAAAGAAAATATATATGAATATATGCAAAATTAGCCAAAACGTAGACTTGATTATCATCGATTTGATTTTTATTCTTTAAAACTTCTAGTTTTTTTTTAAGAAGTTCTCTTAATATAAATATATAACACAATGCTGATTCTTTCAGCTCATATCTACTTAAGTTTGATTAGTTGAAAAAGCAATTAGTAAATAACTTTCAAACTTAACCATGAAAAAGTCCAAGAATTTCAAAATAGATCAACACCAGAATCTATATCTATGAGGATATTGTCATACAGATTCGACTTCACAATATCACCTCATCAAAACTAGCTTTTTAGCGATCTATTCACATTGATTCATGAAACTATTTATCTTACTATCATCTCAAGATTTCCTAAGAAGAAAGACTTTTACCATTCGAAATTGATTTTTCGACATCTCAGTCGGTTACAAGAAGATTTTTGGTTTCTAGATTAGTAACCAATTCCGTCGCTAACAAGAAATAACGCCAGTTCTTGAAAAACTCTAAATAGATTCAGCAAAAAGAATCCTTACATGAGGATTTTGTAGCTTGACGAGTTCTCTAGAAAACGCACTTTTGAGCTTTCCTTTTTTTTTGAACCTGGATTATTTGTACATGGGAAAATATGCAGCAAGAAACTTTTGTTGTTTTCTGTATCATGCCGCTTACATTAGTTTTTCAATAATTACTTGAGAAAACATTGATCTAAGCAGTGAGTTTTACAGAAGATCTAAAGTAACTCAACATACATTGGATGCAAAAAATTCGTTAAAATAAAGTTCAGAGTTCAGAAAAATACACATTTTTATTTTGCAAAATCATGTCGCTAACCAATGAAACTGTCCATAGAATCATCAAAATAATTCATACGTATGGATAAGTCTATGATTTTCCTTTACTTACACATATCATACCTTGTACTGACTAATATGTGCCGTATCGGTATGCATAAAATCACGTGAAACAACATAGAGTCGAACGTATTTACTTTTGTAACCTTGACGATAAAGACTTTCAACAATGTGTTTCGCAACAAAGTTTTTTCCTAAATAGAAAATAAAATCAAATAGCACAAATACAAATTAATGAAAATATTTTTTTGGATAATTAGTTTAGAAATTTGTGAATGATGAGATAGTTTAGGTTAGAGAAATATACATTCATATATTTATCTATTTAATAAGGCTTTGTCATTATGGTAATGGACAAGTCTATAGAGTTATTCGTATTTTGTTTTTAGTTGATATTTAATTTGATGATTTGAGCTAACCGAAAAAAGCGTTTCAAAAAGTTTGGACCTGTAAGTTCGATTTATTTTAGATGAATTCTTTACTGAGTCCAAATGACTAGAGTAACCATTCGTAAAACAATGGCAGACAATAAGGAAAATATAGAAATAAAAAAACTTTAGGACAAGGTCTTGAAGCAAACTCTATAACGTATCAATTGCCTGCAAAATATTTTGTTTTAAATCTTTGCATCTTGAGTTTCAAAATCTATAAGTTTAGAAAAAAACCGCAAAAGTTGGATCTTTTTAAAAGTGTTTTTCTACCAACAAACTAGATATATGATGGAAAGGTATTTTGTGGTGTACAATGATGGCCATATCTACCGCTAGTATTAATACCATCCGAAAATTTCACAAAATTGATATAGAAAAGAGATGATAAAATACACAATGATTACTACAAATTTTTCCAGAAAAACTAATCTCAAGTTGTTCGGTCCATACAACTATGCTTATATTACACGAAGTGATACAGAAAATTATTTTTTATAAAATGAGACATTCATGAGCATTCTACAACATTTTTTCGTCGAACTATATTAGATTTACAGAAGACATTAGGATAGAATTTTTATCAAGTCATTCTTTTTATATGGTCACTAAAGTAACCAAACTACCCTTATAAATGAGAGTGCATCAGATTGATATATCAAAAACAACTCATATTCTCTTTCAATGTTTATTTCATCAGTGACCCTTCTAGAACCGCTATGGAAAGTAAAGGATTCAGTAGTTTACTTCCTGAATATACTGAAGTTGTTTTCAAATATTCATTTTAATTTGTATCTAATTTTTAGCTGAAATATGAATTGATTTTTATGACCCAAACTACATAAGTGTATCTAATCCTTATTTTAACTATCAACATAAATAATATTCGACTGTTATAATACATACCTGTACCAGTACCACCATGTAAAGAAAGAACAAGAGATTTGGACGGATTTGGATTAGATACATGTGAACTAATTGATCTTAATATGAGATCATACACAAGTGGTTGACCTATCAATTGGTTTTTCAAACGTAAATTAAGTTCTTAAGAAAATTGAAATGAAAACAAAAACATCTTGCTACATATCATTAGAATAGAGAAATTACCTTTTATATCATTCCTTATCCAATAGTTTGAACAACATTCCATTACACAAAATATATCAAAAATACTTTTCAGAAGCACCATTTTCTTTTTTTTTGTATCTTCAAACAAATAAACATCAAAAACACAAAGCATCTGAACCACTAGGTCAAAAAACCACGTATTTAATTTTTGGAAAAACAAAAAACAACAAACAAATCAACAAAGAGTTGTTTGCCGAAAAACAGCAATATTTGCAACTCTGTTATTGTTAGTACAAAAAAAAGCGACGCTAACATTGTTATTATCCATAATAAGTCTCGAGTTAGTATCACAAAACAAATGTAAATAGACAAAACATAAATTGAACAGACAGAATTTTAAAAATAATCAATGTTGAGAAGTATTAATGAGATCATTGTTATCCATTATGAATTCTCTCAAACAACCGACAGCACTAAAGTATCCCTAAATAAAAGAAAAAAATTTAATACAATATATAGAAGATTTTTTCTTAGTTTCTTTTACCTCATGTTCAAGAAATATAGCTTTTATTTTTCCACGCGACCAATAATCCATAGCATAAGCTAATATACGCATTGATAAATCATTAATACGTAAAAAACTGCCACTAAATAATATTCTATCAACATTCTATGAATCAATAAAAAAAAAAAGTATATTAAAGAAAAAAAAACAAATTCAATTTCTAACTTCTGTTCGTGCACACATCATGGAAATCGAACCAATATTATTTAGAACGGTTACTAATGTTGCTCGAGCTAAATCAGATTTTGTTGCTTGTTCACGTTTCTCTGGTAAATTCATATGACCAAAACTAGAACAATAAATAAAAGCATTTCATCAATCAGTTTCTAAGCACAACAATTGAATAAAGACATTTAAGGTTATTGTTAAGATTAGAGATGAAAGCCATCACCAGTAGACGCAAAACTTTAAAGATATATTAGTTGTCACTGCTAACGCTCAAACAAATCAATCGCCATCGATTAATACATCGGCTTAAATTTCTAGTCAAGACTTTTTTAAATAAACTTAGCTATGGTATATATACTTTTATTCTATTTTCACCGCTGTACTCAACTATTTACGGCACATGAGTATTATAGATTGCCGTTCAACAAATCCATTTCAAACTTTGAACAAACATTATCCAATTAGTGGTCATTATTTTCTTTCATAGAATACAGACTACGATCGGAAAAGTAGTAATCTTGATTTTCCTACTATTTGAAAACTACAGACCGATTTATCGAACCTTATTTATCAAAATCTAATTGCGTTTTTTGATAGACTATGTTCATTACTATACATTGAAGTTGTTTATATATACCTGCTTGCTACAATATGGCCAGGTAAACCAAATCGTTCATAATCACCACCATAAATATCTCTGACTAATTTATCAACCTAATTTAATCAATCAAACAATTAAATAAAAATTATGATAATAAAAAAATAAAACTAACCTTAGTACTATCACCTTCAGTCGCTAATTTAATAGCTTCATCATAACTTGAACAACCCGTTAACAAACAACATAAACCTAAAAACGTACCACCGCCTATACTATAATAGATATTTGAGGAAAAAAAAGAAACCATAATGATTAAAATAATATAAATACATCAAAGTTTATAAAACCAACCTTGTACCAGTTATACGTCGATAATTAGTTTCTGATTCAACATGCAATATACTAATTCCGCTACCAATATTAACCAAAAGAAATGGATTTTTAATATCAAATTCAAATGTATGTTTATTTGGATTAGCAGCATTTTGTGGTTCTTCATAATAAAAACATTCATTTGGATTAAGTTTACTTAAATAACTTAAACCTTTTATTAATGTATCAAGTTCATCACATTTACACCAACGTAACTTTAATTTCTAATAGTAGGAAAAAAAATCCAAAGTTTTTCTTATTACACATTATATATGACAACGTACATTAACTGCATCGTTTTCAAATTTATAAGCACCACCACCTGTTGCAAAAACTTCAAAAGTAAGTGTATGTAAATTTTTCATGATACATAAATCAATAAAATTTGGCATTCTAGCTGTTGGAAATCGAATAAAATGAAGATTTCCACGACGACCACCTAATTCTATATTAGTTAATTCAAGAGTATCATCACGAAAACCGTCTTCACCATATGCACGATTTGATGTTAAATAATGACGAATATTCATTAAAATTTCACCTTCTGTACGAATTTCATCTGGGGTTAAATCAAGTGGTTCAAAATAAACAAGTTTAACTAATGTTCCACCAATATCAATAGCAAACCAAGGAAAAACTATATCATAGACAAATAAGAATACAAACGATATACACCTTGAGCGAAATTCTTCACCCTCATTCTTTTCGTATAGAACCATACTTTGATCTCAATTTAATATTAGTTACAAGAATGGCTTAATATACGTCTTTCAATACGATTGAACAACAATACAAATGAATTGGTTGACAGAATACTCCACGACCGAGTTATCTATTTTTTCTTTATATTTGCTAATTGTTTTCGATCATTGAACTGTCTTCGTTGCAAACTCGAAGCTTTTCCCATAATGCGGTATATTCAATTATACAGATCCAGCTGAGTAAAACTAATAAATAAATTATTCTATCAATCAGTGCATTTATTGAGTTGGATAACTATATTGAATGGCGTACACTCTTCATTGATGTAGGTCCTACGACTTGTTCACAGTATACAGCCTTCCGAAAAGTCCGAAACTTCAGCCAAAAAAACGTCATTCTTATAGAATAAATAGAGGGTGATAATCTGCATTGGATAGTATTGAACAAATTTACTAACTGTAAAACTTTCTGAGATAACTGAAAAAACTTTATCAAAAACGTAACAGCATTACGTTTGAACAAGCCGCCTAATGAATCATACACTACATTAAAATACAGTATTTAAGCCATTCTTGTAGCCAACATGTATCTGAGACCAAAGGCGTTCAATACGAAAAAACGGAGAAGGGAGGCTTTTGCCCATGGATGTGTATATATTTTTTGTTTTTGTGTTATCAAACCTGGAAGAACTTTTTGTTCAGATGATTGTTGAAAATTAGCGATAGGTGAAACATGATTTGTTGACGTTTTTGAATGCTTATTTATAATTTTATTGGAATGTTCGATACCATTATAACTAAAACAATAAATTTGATTTAGTAGCATAATAATAAAAGTACATATAATGCATATGACAAAGAATCTCTCTATGAAATAATAACAGTTAAAATTGTTGTCTATATAATTTTTTTACTGTTTCTCTTTCTTCAATGATAGGATAGACAGATTAAAAAGTAAGAGGAAGATTAAAAAAGTACCTTTTTGTGTCCATCTTGGTTTTATCAATATGAATTAAATAGGATTATTCGATCAACATCTAAAATGAGAATATAGATTTAATAGTATGACTTACACAGTTAGAAAGCATTATTTTTTTTTTAATTCTGTTAATAAATGCATATATAAAAAACACAGACTCATTATTATCTCCAGATGATTCTGGCTGGAGAATATTGCATTTTTGATCATTTCTTCTCTTTGTTTTTGTGTATTTATTCTCAATAGTCTAAATGAAAAAAAAAATAAATTATTTTTTTATTAGAAAGTCTTCAAACTAATACTTTGATCAGAAATTCATGCTTTTTATGTCTAATTACTTATACAGCTCGTCCTGAAATCGCTAAGAAAATCTTTCCATTTTTGTGAGAACTCAATCCCACTTTTACTCTATTTTCATGCCAAGAACTCTCTTCCTGTGTGGACCTATCCTCGCAACAAATGCAATGCTATATATAGAGCGATAACAAGGGCTCGAAAATCCATCATAAAGAATTCCATGGATGATGAACAACAAAAGAAAAAAATCCTTGATGTATGACTAACAACAAAACAAAAGAAGAAAAATATGAATGTCTAGGTATAAAAAAGAAAAGCCTTATCATCGTATCTGGAGAAGATATAGGTCATAACAGTTCTAATCTAAGCATCTTTAGTCAAACAAAGCTTGAATACATGTGTGGAATTTGTATATGATTATATTTCACTACATGACGTAACTCACTATGATCCTCAGATATTGTTGTGATCTTAAACAAGAAATATGGAATAACATGACAATCACATACTCATTAATGATCATTTTCTGTTATGAGCCATTTCCAGCTGAACAAATACCATATGTCTCATCTTCTACAGATATATAAAATCACATTTGTTGTTTTCTATTACTATCAAATGCATCTCGACCTATGGTATCGAACAAATGAAAAAATATTTTCATCAATCTTGAATATATCTAACCTTTCAATGATTCTTACACTAGTTCTATTAACATATGAAATTGATTAGTTTATAATACTTTGAAAATATTTTGAAGTGTTATTATTTTACGGTTTGCTTTCGAAGCACAATAATTAGCGCTTAAGAAATATACAACGGGTATCAAAGCTCAAATCAAACCGACCTTTACTGATTCAAGTTCGTTGCATCTTCAGTTTCTGGTGGGTACTAACATTACTTAACAAAGTTTATTTTCAACTCTTTTTTCTGTTGCCGTAAATGTTCGCAATTCGAATAGACAGAAATGTTTTCCAACAGAAAATATAACGAAAAATTATTATCAGCTTTTCAAAGACAAGCACTTGAGAAAACCAAAACCTTATTTTTCAGCAACTAGAACTCACAGATATAATACTATTTAAACTACATATAATGATAGAGCAAACAATTCTCTACAAAATGAGATGTCTTCAAGTTCTCGACTGTGCTTTTTCGCTGTGATACAACAATTTAATTGAAGGTCAAAAGCATCATTTTTCTGTAGGAAATGATTAAAAAAAGCGACTTTAGGGGCTTTCATAAGGTTGTTGTAATTCAGCCAAAAAACGCCGGAGACAAGTCAAAGACATCTCATTTTGTAGATAATTATTTGTGCTGCTGTTCTAAATGCTGAAGAGTCTCGAATTTCTAACGCTTACGGCAGCAGAAAACAAAATGAAAATAATTTTGGTATCCACTATAACTTATGATCAAACTAAATATTCATCAGTTTTTGAAAAAAATCATATATTATGCTTAAATAAAGTAGAAATATCTGGTTGTTTTTATATAAACCCCGGTTCATAGAACTGAAATATATAAATTATAAAATTAATACATCACTGTTTCATTTATTAATTAAGTAACAAAGAAAGACAAATTATCTAAAAGAATTTTAAAAATTTCAATATCAATCTCATTCAAATCTGAAAACAAATAAAAAACGCAAAACTTATTATCAACAAAAGAAATGAGAACAATCATTCTACTACTTTTAGGTTTTTTTTTTCTTCTATAACAATATTTTTGAATCCGGCTTTTTTTTATTGTTATAAAAGATCGAAGACTAAAATTAGAAAACAAATATAATTCAATTACATATGAGATCATTAAATAAAAAATAGGGTAACCCAGTTTATCTTTTAGCGTAAATACTCAAATAAGCACTCTAGTTTAATGTCAATACTGATCAAGATCTTTTATCTAAAAAAAGAAAAGAACCAAATATATGTTGTAAGAACGATAAAATCTTTGTCTTATCAAAAAACTTCAACGTAAATAGTTTATTACATTCTTTTCATTAGAAAGTTTACTTCCCTTTTTCTTAAAAAAAAAAGAAAAACAACAAAAAAAAAGTTATTTTCCTACAAAAACATTGATCACTTTTTTTCTTGTTCTTCTTCAATTGAATATTGTTTAAGTATCATTAATCGATATTCATTCCATGTATTTGTTTTTAAACTTTCTCGAATTTGTTCAAAAAAAGCATGATAATGATATAAATTATGAATTGTAATTAATGTTCGACCAAGTAATTCTTTTGTTTGTATAAGATGATATATATATGCTTGTGTATAATTTTTACAAGAATAACAATTACAATCAGACAAAAGAGATTGTTTACCATTAACATATTCTTTTGAATTAATATTATATTCTGTACCAATTTTATTCGAAGACATTTTATCATTATATTGAAATGTTAATATTATAAAACGATCAGAAACATAAGCAACATATGCACCAGAAAAAAGATCAAAACCTAAATCAATTGCATGTATAACATTATCTGGTCGCCAAAGAAGTGGCATAGTAAATAGAAGATTTTTATAATCAATTAATTTTGTTTTTGTTTCTTCAATAAATGATTTCAATGAATTAATATCCATAGTTTCTGTTGATGGACCATAAGCATGAAAACCTTCAAAACTAATACCAAATATTTTTTTTTCATTATTTGATATATGACGTAGAATATCATTTAAATATAATTGTCTTTGACGTTTATCATGTCCACCAACAAGTGGCATAATTATATTTGATGATATATTTTGAGCATCTAATGAATTTTCTAAAAAACGTCGACTTCTTTCACGATCTTTAGTGTAACGTTTATCTGTTGTTTTATTTATTGGTGTATCACCATCAAACATTGGTTCATATATTGTTGGTTGAACAAGTTGAATTAATTTTTTAAATCGATCTATATTTAATTCTTGTCGGCCAGATTTTGCCCATACACTTGCATAAAGATTTCCATTACCACCTGGACGTAATTCAACTAGAGAATCATGAAATGGACAATAGATTGGATGTTTAATTTGAGCGAAATTTCCATATGATCCCATATTTTCAAAATTTTTCATTGATTCAACTAAACTACCAAGTGGAATTTCTAGTAAACGAGTTACATTATCAGGTATAAGATCATATGTTACATCAGGTACAACACCGGAACGTACATAGAGCATAGCTGCTGGTGTTTCAATTATTTTTGGTATTGTTGAAAATGCTAATTCACCAAGACGAGCTGCTGTTGTTGAATTTGAAAGAGGTATTGTTTTAAAAGATATATTAGCCATCTGAAGTCAAAGAACAATCAATTCAAAAAAAATAAGCAAACAAAAAAATCTTTTTCTTTATTCACAATCAGTGATTATAACTTGAATTTTGTATATAAATTATTTCATTGTTACTAGTTAATATTATTAATTTGTCATATTCTAGACAAAATGAAAAGCAAAGAATATGAAACATGTCTTCTATAGAAGACATAAATCTATCCATGGCGACAGTTTCTTCATTTAGAGAGATTATATAATTGCATGAATTTTTACTCAATTTGAGTATCTATATATCTAAAAGTCAGAATCACAATGAATCTGATGGATTCAATCTGACTATGATAATGTAATAGTGATGAAGGAGACTTTTGAAAATCATTACTAATAGTGGCGAACTGCTAGCCGTAATGAACATCTCTAGTAAGACATCGTTATTTACTTTTCTTTTTAAATAGAGTATGATAGAAAAAATTTTTGATTTTTATTGGGCTATTGTCTCAAGTTAAATTGGATCTTAAAATTTTGTTCTGATATTAAAACGTAGAGAATTTCATGTAGATTTTTTTTGCTTTGAGCATTGAAAGTATTAGCTATCACAAAAACATTATTTACTCAAGATTTTACTTGAATAAAATGTCGTTTACTTCGTTAAATTATTTTATATAACCTATTCAAATACCGTATTAAAATATAAAGAAACGTATCTATTGTTGAGATATAATATCAAGTTTTCCGATAAAAAGTTTTCATTTATAAAACTACATTCGTTTTTAGAAACAATTGCGCTTATTAAAAGCAAACAAACCATTGATGTTCACATTTGTCACATTTTGCAGTTGAGCTAATGATATTTTTTGTAGCATTCAGTACTTTTAATACTACAAGAGAAGAATAAATATTCATTTTAAAAATAAAATCTATGCAAAATTGTCTACCTTTCAGTATCAGAATGAAACTGTTTGATCCAGTCTAACTTGAAAAAAAACATTCTAGCAAAAACTAGAAACTTCTTCTACCGTACTCATTAGTTTCATAGATAGCATTCTTGTTCGAATGGATTAACAGAATATCAGTTAATGTTCATACATCGAACACGATCTTGCATTCAATAGTTTGAGGTCTGATGGATGCAAACCATTGGTTGATTTCTATTAAAAAAACTCTATAATTTCATTAAAATAAATAATAACTGTCATTAATGCAATCAAAATTGCCACTAATATATCATAATCGGTTAAAACTATTTGACAAATACTTCTAATGGTTTACTTTTCATGCAAAAAAAAAACGGAAAATATTTACTTTTACAACATTAGATAAAAATGATAATGTACATCATATTTTCACAAGCCATTTTTTAAATTATCGTTGGATCTG